TTTCCTCAAAATAAATAAAAAAATACAAAAAAGGTTGTTTGAAAAAATAAAATTCGTTTTATTTTCAATCTAAATGCAACTTGAAAGTCTTTGAGAAAGAAATAGATTTAAGCTATGCTGCATGGACACTTCTAGAAGGTGAGAGTCCCCGTATCCGATACCTGGACACTCGGAAACGCCCGGAGACGGCTCGGACACTCGTGTCAGGCCGTGTTATAATTTCGCTAAAAGTAGGACACCCGTGTCAGGCAACGACCACAATTTAAAAAAAAAGTTCGGATACGGCTCTTATGCTTTAAGAGAAAGAGAAAGATCTAAAAAATACGCATTTTTTTTCCTCTGTAACACATATTTGCTATGTCTTCTTTGAGAGTCCACCCAAAAGTCCAAACTCTAGGGACAACGTCGACAAAGAACACGAGCAGTAAGGGCGAGCGGTTCTCTAATGCGTTTTGGTGACATGTAAATATATTTTTACAATTTATAAATGTACCCCTATATTTTTATAATTTATAAATATACCCCTATACTTTTTATATCTACGCGTATCCTCGCGTGTCTGTATCCTAGTTTTTTGAAAAGTTGTATCACCTTGTCCGTATCCGCGTTTATAAATATAAGTGTCCGGTGTTTATTATCCATGTGATATTTAGTTTTATATCATTTTGCTACCTATTCTTAATGGAGGTAATTGCACATATTCCTCTGTGTTATTTTGAATTGCCAAAAAAATCCTCGTGATATAAAAATTACCAAGAATCCCTTGTGTTGTATTTCACACTGCCCAAAATTTGATGTTGACTGTGAGTTCCTTCATTATCAAAGGGAAAAAAAATTAATGTTGATTTAAATGAAATGACTAACTATCCAATGAATTTTCAATAACATTTTAATTTTAGAAGAAAAAAATATAAATTCAATATAATAAAATTAAAATAAATTGAAAATGAAAAATATGCTATTTTCTTCCCACCTCCGCCTCACTCAAAACCAGCCTCCGCCACCGCAGTCTGCACCACCACCACCACCACATCAGCACCCCACCCCAAACAACTTCTCCATTCACCAGTCCATATCGGCGGTGGCCTTGATTTCCTTTTTTGATTTCTCCTTCGACGATAAAGTTGGCAACAGAAATCCAAAAACTCAAGTAGATCCGACACCGCCCTTGGCCGGACCAATTTACGTTACGAGCTCTGTTGCTGACATGGTGGCATTGATGGGGTCGTCGGTGCCGTCCAAGTCCAAGTGCTGGTGGTAGGGGTGTGAACGAGTCGAGCTCGGCTGTTTTGGTTGGCTCGAGCTCTGGTTGACTCGAGCTCGAGCCTATTTTGTCGAGCTCGAACTCATCAAGTATTTTTTGTTTGGCTCGAGCTCGAGCTCAAGTCAATTTTGACGAGCTCGACAAAATGGCAGTACAGTATTGCTCTCACCACTCCACAAAAATCACACAGTGACAGAGGCTCACCCAATTTGATTTTTCTTTCTTTCCACATAAATCAAGAAAATGAAACATTCAATGCACATTCAAATGAAGGATTAAGATGTTTAAATAGGGGATTTGTTTGTGTTAGATAGAGAGATATAGACACGGCCACGGGCCGGTTCGGGCCGGTTCAAACCGGTTCACGGTTCACATTTTCCGGAACCGGAACCGGCCCGTAGTATGGGCGGTTCAGCGGGCCGGGTCAGCCCGCCGGTTCGGGCCGGTTCCGGGCCTATCCGGGCCGGTTCCGGGTCGGCCCGGAAATTTTGAATTTTTTTTTTTTTGAAATATTTTATGAATAAGTAAATTAAAATAAGTACTTTTAAATAGAAAAAGGAAAAGGAAATAAATGAAAAGACTTGAACTTAATTTTAAATTCAAAATTTTAAAGATTTCGAATTTAAAATGATTTTTTGAAATATTTTATGAATAAGTAAATTAAAAGAAGTACTTTTAAATAGAAAAAGGAAAAGGAAATAAAATTGGGGGTGAAAAAAAATTGGGTTGGGTGTGAGGGTATTTATAGGAAAAATTGGGGGGGAAAAAAAATTCAAAAAAAAGTAAATAACGGCCGGTTCACCCGGGCCGGTTCACTAGCCGTTATTTGCTTTTTTTTTTTGAATTTTTTTTGTTTTTTTTTTAAATTCGGGTGAACCGCCGGGCCGGGCCGGCGGTTCACGGTTCACCATTTCTCAGAACCGGGCCCGTCCCGGGTAGGACGAGCCGGTTCACGGGTCCGGGCCGGTTTACTTGGTCAACGGGCCGGTTTGGGCCGTCAACGGGCCGGTTCCGGGCCCAAAACCGGCCCGTGGCCGTGTCTAGAGAGATACATGGTAGAGAGACCGTGGGGGAATATTTTGGGTGAATTTGGAGAGATGGCCTTTTAGAAAATACTAGGGACTGAACTGAAAATTCTGAGGATTTTGTTTTGGGCCTTATAAAGTTTTTGAGGTGAATGTATAATTTTGAAATTTTTTGAGTTAAAGGGTAATTGTGTCTTTTCACATCAAAACCACACCCCTCAGTCGCAAATTTGCGCGTGTAGCACATGTTCAGCTCACAGGGCCTTCTTAGCTTTGACTAACTTTCATTGGGAGGTCCGTGTTAAATTTTTTTTAATAAGAGAACATTTTTAACAATTAGAAATTACACAAGGGTTGTTTTGCAAAAAAAATCGATTCTTAAAGGACCGAATTGCATATAAGTATATAGACAAATATTATTAAAGCGATCGCATCCACACCAAAATCTCTGGTACGAAATTAAAGGACATTAATATAAAGTAAATTTATAAATTACAGTTAAACCTCTATAAATTAGTCCAGTCGGGACTAGCAAAATCCCATTAATTAAGCGAAATATTAAATTATCGAACTAATAGTTTAGTATGTTTGCACCGAATTGGGATTGGAAGAAATTATTATTCAGGCGAGGTATTAGTTTATCGAGTATTAATTTATCGAGGTTTTACTCTATGTGAAATATGCTGGGGTTTTTTAATTTTGTGTTGATTTATCTTGCGCCAAAGAAATTTGAAAAGCTTATATGGTATTGTTCCTCCCTCTCACGATGAAGAAGATTGAGCTGAAGAGAAACGGTTAAAAAAAGGACAGAGAAAAGGTGGTGATTGGTTGACGGTGTTTAGGTTTTTTAAGGGCAAAAAAGGTAAATACACAAGAAAACATGTGAGGTTTTTAAATGTTGACCATACATGTCAGGGACCATTTTGGTACATTTTGTAGTTCAATGGATTGTTTGCGATAAACCTTATAGTCCAGGTGTGCAAAAACTGTACTTTTCTCAATTAATAATCATCAATTTATCGATAATTTAATATTTCACTAAAGTCATAGATTATATTGGTCTCAATTGTATTAATTTGAAAAAAACGCTCGTACTAAAAAAATTAGCACGAACCGCCATATGAAACTTATTCAAAGCCAATAAAATTCCTAACGGCTTATTTTGTTCTGCACAGGCGAATTGTGCGGCTGGGGTTGAGTGTTCTGCCCTGAAAACACCTAAATACCCTCTCAATAAAAAAAAAAATTAAATATCAAATTGACCGCAAAATTTTCATTACACTAAAATGAAAATTTCAAAATTTTGAATTCAGAACTTGGCAATTTCAAAACGCGCTCTCCCCAAATCAACTCCTTCCCGTTTAAACTCTCCACCATTTTCACGCACAACACACACAAAATCCTGCTTCGACGGCGCCCCTTTGCCGGAAATTAACCAAAAGATACGTTTTTCTGGAATCTTTTGGGACAAATATTTTTTCGGCGGAATTTCTTCGTAGACAGATCACTCTCTTCCTTCATGTTTTTTCCAGCAAAAAACCAACCGACATTCTGAGCTTGAAGCTATTTTCTACATGAATCCAAACCAAGGGAAGGGTTGGAAATTTGCAAGATCTGAGCTTTAAGCTTTTTCCTGGAACCCCCACAAATTCCATAACAAAAATCACAACTGAAATTTTCAGAAATTTACCCAGAAATTTTTTTTTTCCAGCATAACAACCCCGATACACTCTTTTGTTCTCACGATATTCTGCTCCTATTCTTCAATATAACGTAAGCAAATCTAAAATTTCTCTAACTCGAGCTAAATGAACTGCTCAAGTCGTAAAGGCAACCGAAAATTTCTCCGCATATTACGCCAGAAAACATTAATCCGGTACAAGGCATTAATTGTTGTGATTAACCTATTGTGGTGGAGAGCTTGATTTATTTGTGATGTCATTAATCTTCTCTTTCAAATATTTTAAATGTTGCGTTTTGTATTTGTCGTCCGAGAATCATTGGCTCCCGTGACATGGACGTAACCGAGTGTATGTGGAATATTCTAATGAGGAGAGAGTGGAGACAAAGATGATAGAGCTGGCACAGTACTTGTGGTTGCAAGATATGGAGGAAGTGAGACTAGAGGCGAAGGCTCGAAGCGAGAAGGAGATCATGGCACCCCATGTTTGAATTGCCAAGCTACAAATTACGGCCAATTCCATGAGGTAAGATTGAATTACTAAAATCCCCCCCTCTTATCTGAGTAATTACAACTACCCCTTCAACTATGTATTTTTTTTACAAAAGAAAACCCTCTCCAGTTGGAAAATTTAACACTGCAAGGGTGGTGACGTGTAAGAAGTACAATACATAGTTGAGAGGTGGTTATAATTATCCAAACAGGAGACCGGTATTTTCTTTTTCGTAATTTGACCTTATCTCAAGCGATTTGCCGTAACTTTTTCTAAATATAATGTGGAAAATGAACATAAATGTTGATGCTCCATATTGAAAATGTATCGAACCCTCAACCAAAGTTTCATATGATGTGAATGACCTTAATTAACTGCAAATCTCCTCTATAAAAGTGGATTAGATCATTCATAAATAAAGAAATGTAACTAGATAAGAATTAATTCTCTTTAAAGATCTAACTCAATCAATATGGATATCACATGCATGCTTCACAATTAATGATAATCCTAGTTAAATTTATTTAAAGTGTGTAATATGTGAACAATTTGCAGCACAAACAAACACCAAAAAAATGGAGTCTCCAAATGCTCTTTCGTTCATTCTAAAACTCATGCTCGTGTTCTATTTACTCAATATCGCAGCCAACAATGTAAACTACGGCAGCGCTGCGAATACGAAACCTAAAATTAACCTGATTTCGGCAATATGCCCAAAAACAAGTAATCCCAAGAAATGCCTCTTCCTACTAAATGTGAATAGTTCGACTCGTGGCGCACCTACCCTTCGTGATCTAGGAGTAGTCACTTTGGGCATATCAATAAATAAAGCCAACACTTCAATACGCTCAATCAACAATTCGCTCCGATTTGTGGACAAGCCTCCTACGAAACAGATATACGAGGCTTGTATTGATAAATTTAAGTCGTCCATCGACATGCTAAGTGAGGCGAAACAAATGGTGACGGCCAATAATTTTGCGCCGGCAAGGAAAGTTTTGGAGCAAGTAGTACACGTGCCTAGTACTTGTCAGAAGGAACTCGCGAAAGCTGGACCTCCAACTGTTGTTAGACTAGCGAATGCAATATCCGATTGGTTTTTCGACATTGCTTTCGTTATTGTGAAAGAGTTGGAGGCCGGTAAAAATTGAACTATGGTAGTTGCTTACATGAACAACAATTAGAAATGTGAGTGTGTACAAATTAAATAAGTAAGGATGTAATAAGTGAGCATGCATTGTAAAGTTGAATGCTATGTGTTTATTTTTAATATCTATATATCATAAAGTATAATTTCTATATATATTATGTCAAAACTTGTGATTTCGAATGTCGTTGTAACCAAAATCGGACGAGTTTAATTTGTTTATCACGTCAGTAATTAACGAAACCTTAATCATACTATTGTAATGAGGATGGACCTATTAATAATTGCAAACACCTTAAATTACTACTTAAGAGTAGATTTGAGGAATATTCGTAAATGAAGAATGGAAGTTGGGAAGAAGAAAACTTGTAAGAGTACTTATATCGACGGAGATCATACGTCGTTTGATTCTCGTTGCAAATTGAAATCGAGATGCATCACATGTTTTGTAATGATGTTTTGATTTGAGAAAGTCAACTCGCCACGTCGGCACACCACAAGCAGTTTGGAAATGGAGGGGCCCGTTTTGTTACGTTTGGTGTTTCATGGGGGTGTTTGAGACCAACCCTATAGTCCAGGGATGCAAACTGTACTTTTCCCACAAATTTAATTAGAGATAATAAAATTAAGGGTTAATAGCATTTCACCCCCAAACTTTAGATTATTTTACGCTTTGCCCCCCAAACTCCATTATGTGGAGCTCCGATTATTGAAATGCCATTTCTGGCCAAAATCTCACCCGAAACCCAAGTGTGCCACTCACGTGTGATTTTTTAGGGGTAAAATGGTCAAATCATTATATTTTCCTGCTTTTAATTTTCTCTCCATCTTGTTTCCCCCCTTCTGTGACTTCTTCACGCCAACAGAACAGAGAACAAGAAATAAATAGAAAAAGAAAAAAGGGGTGTTCGGGAGAAAAAAAAAGAAAAAGATAAGGGTAAATTACGATCTCCCTGAGGTATGATCTAATTATGGAAAAAACCCCTCTTGTTTGGATAATTACATCTATTCCTCAACTGTGAATTTTCTTACAGCTCTTCCCTTATGATGTCAAGTTCAACATAATCATCTAGATTCCGTGGACTGTTCTCTAGTCTGTCCTCGTTTTGTGCAAAAATACAGTTTCTGATGCACCACAATCGGATATATACAAGCCAAAAAACACATCTTACGATCATCTTGCTTCGAAATGTGGAGCTCGAATGGGGGTAAAATGGGTACAAAATTGAGAATATTCCATATAATCTAGAAGATTTCTTTAAATTTGAAACCGCAAAGGTGGACGTGTAAGAAAATTTATAGTTGATGGGTGGTTGTAATTACCCAAACAAGAGGGAGTTTTTCGTAATTTGACCATACATCAGGGGTGGTTGTAATTTATCAAAAAAATAAAACTATTTGACCATTTTACCCTTATAAAATCATTGAATGCTTGTGTTCCCGCTCAGTTTTTTTTTTTCTTTCTTTTTTTATTTTTCGCAATTGGAATATATATGAGATTTCGATTTTTGATCTGATTTTAATTTCCGAAAATAGAACGAAATTTTCGATTTTTCCCGAATATTACACTGAAAATACCAATATTATTATGTATATTATACTTTAGGTGACAAAAAAATAGAAATTTCCGAATTCCGAATATTTCAATCCGAAATTTTCTGATTTTGGAACAAGTTCTTTCATTCTAATTTTTGAAATTCCAATTCCAAAATATTGGAAATAGTTTGTCACTTCCGAAAAAATCAGATTTTTTTCCAAAAGAGCTTATTCCGATCCGTCCAATTTATACTCCTAACCCAGTGTAACTTTCACCGAGTGCAACATAGAACTGACCATACATACATATATCGTTAAACTGTCAATTTGAAATAAATGGCCATACATTTCTCCTCTTAGCAAATGAATATTGAAGATCCTCAATAAATCTATCCACCACATTAATTTATTGCAATCTCCTTAAACTCAAAAGTGATTAGTGAATACTAAAGAATTTACAAAAGTTTTTATCACAGATAAAACCCAAATTAATTTTCATGACCAAATAATCATAATGACATATATACTATTCCCTAAATTCATCAACAAATATCTATAAATACAACACAAAAAAAAAAATTAATAATAATAATAATAATTTCATCACTACAATAAGCAATAATGGAATTATCCTTTCCTTGTTCCTTCATTCTAAAAGTTTTCTTGCTATCTCTTGCACTCAGCGTCGCAACATTCGCGAAACCCGTAAACAACAACAAACTGTTTTCCGACGTCTGTCGGAAAACGAAAGATGCTAAACTATGCTTCAAAATTCTGACGGAGAGCAACAGGACTCGTCTCGCTTCGTCCCTTCATAACCTCGGATCGGGCACGTTGGACCTTGCAGTAGTCCAAGCAAAAGCGTCGCAGCACGTGTTTAATTTATTAAACAACAGAAAAGATCTTCCGAAAGATCAGGTGGAGAAATTCAAGATTTGTCGCGACGATTACGAGGCGGCCGTGAAGAAGCTCGGGGAAGCGAAAAATGCGTGGACTAAAATTAAATACGTATTGGCCGAAAGGAGCATACAAACTGCGTATAAAGTGCCGATTTCTTGCCAGAAGAGACTGGTTGGGATAACTGCACCACAACTGCTCTCTCTTACCAAAGTAAATGAAATGTCGAGCATTACTTTTGAGATTGCTCTTGTCGTAGAGAAAGAGATGGAAGCTGCAAAAAATCGAGCGTGAATGCTAATTAATTATACTACTTTATAAATAATTAATTAATGATAATAATGAATATATAATGTTCAACAGAATGGTGGATTATATATATAACTCACTTTGTGCTTTTTCCTCACAAAAAAAAAAAAGAAAAATAAGCGAAAAAAACTCACTTTGTGCTTTAATATCTATCTCATTATTTGTATCATATCTTTTTCAATTCACTACTATAAATCCATGTCACAGAAGTGCGCGCGCATTTTTCGATGAATATTTTATAGAGTGAATTGCATTTACTATCTATGAAAATTGCAACTGTGCGATTTCTGTCATAAACAAAATAGCAAATGCCCCCGTGCTTATTCATTTTTTTTTTCCGGTGACCAATCATGAAAAGACCAAAATACCCTGTGGACGTGTTTGCAAAAGTAAAAGCCCCACCCTTTTAAACTGATAAATTTTAAAATTAAGGGACCAAATTGATTTTCCGAAAAGCTGCATAAACTAAATGAGGTTAAATTGTAATTTTCAAAACTTAATTAAAGAACAAAATTTCTTCATCGTCTTCATCGAGAACCAGTCTCCACCTCCCAACTCTTCTCCTCCGCCGCCATCTTTGCTCCACATCCTACCACCCACCGCCAAACCCATCTCCGCCGCCATCCCCTCATAGATTAAACCCGATGATTCTTTTTACAGAAATTGCACAGCTTGCAGAAACCCTAGTTTCTTAATTTGGTGACTTTGAAGGTGGAGAAAATAGAAACAAATGATTTTTTGATGATGTGAAGCTTTACCCATTTGTGTTTTGAAATCTCCATTAATGAACATGGTGGGAAGATTTGGTAAAAAAAAAATAAAAAAAAAAAAAAAACAAGCAGTAAAACAACATGATGGAAAAAAGGGAAGAGGAGAGATGATGGTGTAGGCTTTTAGGGGCAATTATGTCATTTCCAAGGCATAAAGGAAAGAAAACTCGTACAACTCGTCTGCTCCAAGGGGGGTTTTCGCCTTTTTCTATTGCTAAATTTTTATGATCGAGGGAATCGCAGTTGCAAATTTTACAGGGATATTAAATGCAATTCACTCGTATTTTATGTGTATATTTTATTTTTTTTGTTAACTATCAAGTCATCGGAAAGAAGGATATATAATAGAAATTACTTTTTTTTTTAAATTCTACCGTTTGAATAATTAGGATCTATTAAATCGATATTTTTTTGGCGAAACTCTAGTATAGTTTGAAATCAATACGTACGCATGAATGAATATTATGTTCAAACGCGAATGACATGCACGAAATCAAACGTTCATAAATAAAACGAAATTATATTACGGGTGTATATATATGATGGAAAAATCTCATATATATATAATTTGTAGTATAATTTTCAAACAAGTAAAATGGTCTTAAAAAAGATGATACATTTCACAACATGTTTGTTATTTTTTCTTCTCTTCTTCTCCACAAGATCAAGATTTACAGTTTTACACCAAACATTATCGAAGCTATTTTTCCATATCTTTCTACCACTCATAACTCTTAAATGATTGTATGTTTTGTGGATATATGTAAATATACATTTGCTTACTTATTTTAACATTCTTTTTACTTATAATTTTATCGGAAGCTTACACCTAAATGGCTCACCGTCTGCCCCTGTGTGAGATTTTGTGTGCAATACAAACCGAAATTTTAGTACATCACCTAAATCAATTATCCTTTATTAAAATTAAAAGCATTACAAAATAAAAACCAAAATATAATGGGATTGCCGTTAAAATAAATTCATTACCATCAAAACTTGAACTACTAGCAAATGGAGATGGATGTTCATTAACTCGTTTGATCTCAAAGAATGATGAGTGATAATATTGAAATTTACTCAAATCTCCTTGAATTAATAATTGGATAGAACTAAAACATATTTTAAGCAAACGATAATTAATAATAATTAAGTACGTGTTTATCACAAAATTTACTACTTTTGAGTCCATATACAAAAATCTATATAAAAGGGCTCGAATAGAAAATTTGAAGCACAAAACGACTTCATTAAATCAAAAATGAAACCACCCTTTGCTTCAATGTTCCTTCTAAAACTTTTCCTTCTCTCTCTACTCGGCGTCACATTAAACGCAAAACTCACAAAACCCGTTGACAATAAATTTATTTCCGAAATATGCCCGAAAACAAAGAGTCCCGAAAAATGTTTGAAAATTTTAAGTGCTCACCCAAAAACTCGTATGGCTTCTTCTCTTCATGGCCTCGGATTTGATTCTCTGAGCCTCGCAGTTTTCAGAGCGAAAACGTCAGCGAATGTATTTAATTCAATAATGCTTAGAAATAAAGATCTTCAACAGAAACAAAAGGACATATATAAGGCATGTCGTCATAATTATGTGGTGGCCATTAAAAGCCTAGGTGACGCAAAAACTGCATGGAACGAAAAAAAGTATTCCTTAGCGACAAAGAGTATCGAAGTTGCACAACATATACCGATTTCTTGTGAGAAGGCACTAGTTGAAGCGCCAAATTTTCAAGCTAAACGAGCAAATGAAATGTCGGATATTATTTTCGACATTCCTCTTGTTGTAGCAAAGGAGATGGAAAATAATGGACATAAGACCGAGGATGAATGAGAAAGAAATATAAATGTCATTATATGCATAATAAATTGTGATGGTGGATGAATGATCATTTTGTGCTATAATCTCAATTTTTATTTCTATTTTAATATATGCGATATCTTCACTACTTTCATAAAAAAAATTCTACATTTATAACAACATTAATATCTCATTTTTTTTCTTTATGGGACTAAATATCAACATTTTATAGGGTGCGAAGTGCATGTATTTAACAATTTAAATAAATAGCTGATAAGGAACGGTAAATTGGATTCTAATTACAAAATAATTATTTAATTCGGAGAAGAATTATTAATGGGCATTGGTGGAAATATCAAAAGAAATTATGGAAAAATAAGGATTTTCTACGAACTCAAATTGTATTTGAGTACGAAACGAACTCTATCTCAAGTGAAACGGCGCAAGGAACAAAGCTCATTAGAAAAGCTCATGTATCACGTCAAATTTCAGCAATCCAACGTCGTCTAGACTCCTAAAAGTTCGTTTTTGCTATTCTATGCAAGTTTTAGAAAATTAATATTAAATCATAGAAAAATTGGATTAGGATTCCGTAAATTAGGTTGTTCCCAAAATTACGAGATCTACTAGAATCAAACTCTAACTTGTTTTTGCCATTTTTGATATTTTTTTTATTATTTTCCTAGTTTAGTTAGGGATTTCATTTTGATTAGTATAAATAGGACTGTATTTTGGAGAAGAATTTCGAATTTTAATAAAATCTTAAGAGTTTTCCCTATTTTCTGGTGGATTTCTAGAGTTTTCGGTGAATTCCAAATGTTATTTTATTCTATAGAATATTAATTCGTAGAAATTAATTCTTTACTGTGCTTCCATTCTTCATCAGTTGTTACAAATAATTATTTGTTGGCGAACGATATAACTATAGCACTATTGTCCGTATTAACAAAATTGTTGCAGTAAAAGATATTCTTTTATTAAAATGTTAGATACATGTCAATTAATTTAAATTGTTGATATTAAAATTGGAAAAAATATAGTTTTCACACCTCAAATTTTCTCCAACACATTTGGTCCCCTATGTTTACAAAAAAAAACATATTTTGTCCCTCATGTTTAAAAAGATCAACATTTTTAGCTATTTCTATCAATTTTCCGTTAAAACTAACGGATTCAAACGTGTTTCAATCACCACCGTAACTGACAGACTAATGATAAATTGATAGAAATGACAAAAAAATGTCAAATATTGAAACATGAGGGACCAAATGTGAAATTGGAGAAAACTTGAGGGATGAAAACTATAAATTCCCCTATTAAAATATAATGGGATTGCCCTTTAAGTAAATTCATTCACCATCAAAACTTGAACTACTAGCAAATGGAGATGGATGATCATTAACTCGTTTGAGCTTAAAAGAATGTGGAGTGATAGTATTGAAATTTACTCAAATCTCCTTGAATTAATAATTGGATAGAACTAAAACATATTTTAAGCAAATGATATTTAATAATAATTAAATATGTGTTTATCACAAAATTCACTACTTTTGAGTCCATATACAATAATCTACATAAAGGGCTCCAATACAAAATTTGAAGCACAAAACAACTTCATTTAAATCAAAAATGAAAACGCCATTTGCGTCAATGTTCCTTCTAAAACTTTTCCTTCTCTCTCTACTCGGCATCACAATAAACGCAAAACTCACAAAACCCGTTAACAATAAATTTCTTTCCGAAATATGCCTGAAAACAAAGAGTCCCGAAAAATGTTTGAAAATTGTAGGTGCTTATCCAAAAAATCACTTGACTTCTTCTCTTCATGGTCTCGGAATTCATTCTCTGAGCCTCGCAATTCTCAGAGCGAAAACATCGGCGAATGTATTTCACACAATAATGCTTGGAAATAAAGATCTTCAACAGAAGCAGAAGGACATATATAAGAAATGTCGTCAGGATTATGCGCTGGCCATTAAAAGCCTAGGTGACGCAAAAATTGCATGGAACGACAAAAAGTATTCTTTAGCGATAAAGAGTATCGAAGTTGCACACCAAATACCGATTTCTTGTGAGAAGGCACTAGTTGGAGCACCAAATTTTCAAGCTAAACTAGCAAATGAAATGTCGGATATTATTTTCGACATTCCTCTTCTTATAGCGAAGGAGATGGTAAATTAATAATAATGGACATAATAAGACCGAGGATGAATGAGAAAGAAATATAAATGTCAAGATGTCATTATATGCATAATAAATTGTGCTCGTTGATGAACGATTATATTGTGCTTTAATCTCTATTTTTATTTTTATTTTAATATATGCATCTTCACTACTTTCATAAAAAATGACTACATTTATAACAACATTAATCTCTCTCTTTTTTTTCTTTATGGGACTATATATCAGCATTTTATAGGGTGCAAAGTGCATGTATTTAACAATTTAATTAATCTTTGCCATGACAAGGGCACTTAATTAAAAAAAAGGACATCCAACTTTTTTATTTTCCAAATAATTTCAGCTCAATCAAACTTATTGGCAAAAATAAGGAAAACCATTTTATATATACCAAAAATTACCCTCAATTCCTTGAAACCCAATTCAACTCCAATTTGATGATTTACACCCCTTTTAAGCTATTTCACCAATTAAACCAATTTAAACCCCAATTTTGACCTGTCTGACTTTTTTTTTGTTTTTTTTTTTTTTTTATTTTTCGGAAAACATTTTTTTCTGATTTTTTTTCCGACAGGTCAACCGCCGTTCTCCGGCATTAACTTATTTTTTTCATTTTTAATTTTTTTCTGAATATTTTTCCGGCATGTCAACCGTTGTTGACCGCCGGTTCTCCGGCGT